TTAGAGTTCCGGCTTTGCTTGTTTCTTCTGGAACCACCTCTTCAAGGAGGGGGGTGGGGGGAGGGGGGGGGTGTAAGGCCTGCCCACTCCTTGATAGGGGCAGATGTGTTCATACTTGTTAACAGAAATTGCACAAAGCTGACTCCGCTTCCTCTGACTGCCTCCTTCCCAGCATTCACCACAGGTTCCACTTCCAAGGGTTTAATCTCTCCCAGATCCCCGCATTGTCAAGTTAAGCACTAGCAGCTTATGGTCCTCTCCTCTTCTGACACATGAATCCAGGAAGGCCCTGTGTCCCCTTGACCTTACTCAGAGTTGCTGGAGGTGGCCCACTTCTAAGCTACCCAAGATGCCTCAATACAGAGGGCAGGGCATCTTGCTAGAGAAAGTCCAGTCTGTGCCTCTCTTAGCCTCTGCTCTGTCCTGCAGTGAATCCTGCAGCTCCACATGGTCATCCTAGTCAAATGGGGAGCCTCGGGGCTGCGCAGATGGTTCCTGGGTGGGGGCACCCAGGGGGGCAGGTAGGGATGGGACTGGATGAGGCCTGAGTCAGCAAGTACTCAGTGCAGACTGAGATGGCCAGGATGCCCTTGGTTGCCTGGTGACAAGAACTGAGACAAGGTGAGGTTTTGCAGAGAAAGGCAGAGAGAGAATGTTGTAATGCTTCCAGAAAGGTGAAACCTGAAAAGAATGAGAATTGTGTGCGGCCTGGGAGCAGCCTGCCCTCCACCCTGGGTCTCACTGTGATTTTCGAATTGTTTCACAATGAGAATTGAAAACACTTTGAGAGCCGGACCTTTGTCTTCAAAGACTTGCCTGTACCCGTCAGCCCTTCTCTGCCCAGGCTGGGGCAGGAGGCGCAGCTATAAACTCCAGGTGACTAGGCCATGGAGGGGTCGAGAGATGATTCGGAAGAAGGATGAGGGGAGAGGTGAGGGGCCATCCAGGGTCGGAAGTACAGTGGAAGGGCAGGAGGCACAGGCAGAAGGATCCAGGCGAAAGGGACTTTGAGAAGTTTGCTTGTAGGGGACAAGTATAGAGAGTGAGGACCAGACACCAGAGGATGGGAGACAGGCTGTGGTGAGGCGACTCCTGAGGCCACTGCGGGGGTTCTCCCCAGGGATGAGGAGGCCAGGGGACTGAAGGGACCTCATTCCATATCCAGAAATGGCCAAGGCCTGGGTGGGAGGGGAGTGGTCTGGGCAAGGAAGGCAATCCAAGGGCAGATCTGGCCCTAAGCACCTCACCTTCAATTAGTAAGAGTTAGTAAGAGTTAAGGAATTTTTCTGTTGTTGACCAGATCACCAGCACTAGGTCACCTTGTAACAAGCTTCTTGTTCATAAGAAAAAAAATACATAGGCATCATGTGTATGACAAACTTCTTTCCCAGACAGTGTCTTCAAACCTTGTTTTGCATTCTCCCAAAACCAAGAATCATGCTTGGGGCAGAGCATGCTCTTCAGACCTCCCCCACTGAAGATAAGAACAGAATAAAAACATTCCTGAAGATCCCCTCCCACACCAAACAGCACTACGTAACTTCATTGCATCGATCCCTCTTCGGCAGCTTCTTTGGAAAGGCTGGTTTGCCCTCTCCTTTTCTTGTCACAGGAAATACATGCTTATGCTTTGTGCACTCCACCTCGGCAGTGGCTTTTATTTGGCCCAGACACCCACCGAGAGTGTGAAGCTGTTGAGTTGTCCACTGGGCTCAGGCCTCTGTGGGGTCCTCATGTGAGCTCTTTATTCCCTGTGCCTGAATCCCCACCCTGCTTTCATTCAGCATCATCCACAGGGGCCTTCGGGAGCTCATGGGAACTCTACCTCAGGGACTTGTCCCACAAGTTGGAATCAGAGAACCCTCAGTCCAGCCTTTTTCCATCATCTTCCTGTTTTGTGGAGGCTACTTGGACAGAGTGCCCATCTTGTTGGGACACTGTGGGGACCAAGGCTCTACAGATTACCTCGTGTTGGCACCCCTGGCCTCAGGGGAGTTGCTCTAGAAAGAATTCACATAGGTGTGCATGTATCGCTGCTGCAAGGAGGCTGGGCTGAGCTCCTCAGCACCTGTGTTGCTTCTCTGTTGCCGTTATTCTCCATTCCTTAAGACATGAGTCTTCTTTCTCTTACTCTTCCTGATGGTGGGTGGGGAAGTTTCTGGTGAGGGGAGCTGTATAAGAACCTGGGAAGTGATGGGGTCTCTGGGCATAGGGCTGCTCCTAGCTTAGAAGTATTAATAAAAGTCAAAGGCTAAATGCAAGGTGAGCTGGGCAAGCCACAGTGTGTTCATTTGTGCATAGCAGAGAATAGCAATTCAGGGTCCACAGATTAAGGGAGAAACCTAAAACACGTTCCAAGGAGAGATAAAAGTTGGAGAGATAAAAGTTGGGCCTCCCTGGTGGCACAGGGGTTACAGACACAGCACTATGAAGCTATCACCAGCCACTGCAATATGAGCTCAATCCCTGGCCAGGGAGCTGACCCACATGGTCCCTCAGCAGTGTATTTCAGTAGATCCACCTGTTCTGCTCCACTCCCCACTCTGTCTCTGGTGAATACTCTCAAAGCCCCCCCCACACACACACATACCTCTGGCCTACACCCCAGCTCTTGTATGCATAAATAAATAAATCTTTTAAAAAAAAGATTTGCAGGGGATGAGCGGATTCACCAGAGACAGAGTGGGGAACAACAGGCGGACCAACTGAAATACACTGCCAAGGGGAGCAGCGGGCAAGACAGAAGAGGTCTGCTGTGCCATGTGGGTTGTTCCCGGGCTGGCCAGGGATCAAACTGGTGCTGCAGAGGCTGTGGATTACTTCATAGTGTGGTGCTTAACCCCTTGCGCTACCAGGGAGGCCCTAAATAAATAAATATTTAATAAAAAAAAGTTGGAGGTTTATGGAAGGAAAGAATAAGATGGCTAAGTGGTTGAAGAAAAGTTAATCATTGTTAACAACCTTTAAAAAATTAATTTACTATTGATTTACAATGCTATATAAGTTCCAGTAGTATTTTTTAAAAGATTTATTTATTTATGCATACAAGAACTGGAGTACAGACCAGATGTGCAGGGAGTGAGAGGATTCACCAGAGATGGAATGGGAAACAGAACAGGCAGACTGACTGAAATACACTGCTGAAATACACTGAAATACACTGAAGAGAGCAGCAGGCGAGTCAGGAGAGGTCTGCTGCGCCATGTGGGTAGCTCCCTGGCTGGCCAAGGGATTGAACTCATGCTGCAGAGACTGTGGATAGCTTCATGGTGCTGTGCTTAACCCCTTGTACTGCCAGGGAGGCCAAAGTTTCAGTAGTATTGTCTCATATGTTCTAGTACCTTCGCCATTATTAAATTGAGTCCCTTTACCATTTCCTCCCACCTTTCTTCCTCCTCCCCTCTGATAACCACCATTTGGATCTCTACCATTTTTAATTGTACAATTCAGCCTTGTTAACAACCTTAACATGTTCTTAGCTCTACATAATTGATGACTGATTTCATCTTCTGGCAAAAGTCACTGATTGATCCAGATGACTGCTTGCTTAGTGGTTCCTAAAATAGTTTCTTCTGGCTCTGTTGAGAGGTCTTTGGCCTTGGGCCTGGTCTGCCTTGTTTTGCATTCTCCCAAAACCAAGAATCATGCTTGGGGCAGAGCATGCTTTTAAATATTTGTTGAGAGAAGGAATTTACAATTTTAGTGGCTCCATATCGCTTGGTGCTTTCTATATATCATTTCTACCATCACACGCACATTTAATTCCCAAAATGGTAGAGTCAGGACTTGTTTGCAGATTTGTATGACTTTGAAGTTCATGTTCTTCTGTAACACCTTGTGGTCTTCAGGAGACAAGAACACCATGCAAGGATTTGTTCCAGTGGTGGCTTATAATTATGGCTTGGAAGGCTGGAGGAGGCTCGGGGCCCTTACCCTTCTTACAGCCTATAGGCAACTGTCTCTGTGACCTCCCCACCTCAGGGGATAATAGGACTTTAGGATGGTGAGAAAATCTGATCACTATGATCTAAATTAGGTACCTGGCCAAATGGTGGCACTTAATTCCAGTCACTTGCTGATAAGCTGGCTCTCTAAGCAAAAGCTCTGATTGGAGCATTTCTTGCTATCTCTGGTATATATACTCTGACTATGGCTGAATTCAAGCAACTGACATGAAGTTGGTGACTGCAGAGTTGGAAAGTGAGCCACCTTGTGCTCCCCAGGGACACTACGGGAGCTGTGCCCATAAAGCTACTGGGAGATCACAGCTTCTGTAGGTGCAGTGGGCAGCTGCAGGGAGCCTTGGTTCTCACCTTCCCTTTTCCAGAGATTAGAAATGGTCTCTGCTCCTCTGATTTACAGAAGCCATCCCATGATCTCCAGACGGACCGCCAGGCTGCTGGAGAAAGGCTCCCCAAGAGTGGCTGTGTCTCTTTGGATCTCTCTTGTTGCCTTCCTCAGGCTGGGACAGCCCCCGGTGTAGTCCAGACAGGCTAATGCACAGTAAGATCAATTCTTCAGAGAGCAGTTCAGGTTGCACCGGCCCCAGGGGAGTGATGACAGTGTGTCAGTTCCACTAGCTATTCCTCTGTCCCCCACTAAGGTTCGAGTAACTTTCCTCCCAAATTCCAGGGAATCATAAACACCAAGGAATCTGCCTTGGCTCAGTGAGTCTACCCAGAAATCAGGCCCACCTGGAAGGCAGCAGGTACCCCTGAAGAATAGGGAGGTGTGAGGGTGGGAAAGCAGTGTGAGACTGGGCATACCTGTTTTGGTGGGAGAGGGAGCCTGCTCCCCAGTGGGGATGGGAACCAGGCCTCACAGTTGAGGGGCAGGTGCCCCTGAGATGGGGCTAGAGGCAAGACCAGGACCAGATCTGGAGAAAGGGGGGTGACCTAGGGAATAAGCTCCTTGAGAATGGAAACATTTTGCATATATTTGAGTCTTTTAAGTACTTAACATTTTGCTGAGCACAGAATCAGCACTCAAAGATATGTTGAAGAAGAAACGAGAGCTTTATTAATTAGACCTCCGGTAGTTTTCAAAACTAAGGCAAAAAGTAAAATCAGGGTTACAGAAAACCAAGGCTCAAAGAAGGACCTAAGACGGCCCCAGGGCTCATCCAGGGCACACAGAGGCTTTCTCTTCATATCAAGAGTGTGCACAGGAGGCAAGAAGGTCTACCTTTTCCACCCAGCCTGAAGGAGAAGAGGGGCAGTTGTGGTGTCAGGCCAGGAGAGTTAGAATTTGCTAGAGTAGAGGGTCATAATCCACTTGGGTATACGGAGAAAGCTGGGCAAGTAGGAGGCCAGCCAGCCCAGGCTGGAGGCATTGGAGAGAACCGACCTCACAGACAAATAGTCTTGAACTGGGCGGCCTGCAGACAACAGGAAGTTCAGGACAATTAGACCCTGTTTCCTGATCCCCAGACAACCCCACCCTGGCTGAAGATACTGAGTGAGATGTGAAGGGGAAAGGAACAGGGAGAGTGAGGGAGGAGTGAGCCGGGAACAGGATGAGATGAGAGGACCAGTCTGGCTGCTGGACCTGATCTTACCATCCACATCCCGAAGGCCATAGCGCCGAGCAAGATCACAGGATGGCAGCACCTTCCCACTCAGGCTCAGGATGTTGGGGTCTGTGGGCACACATACAGACAGATTATGACCTGAGGGCAGTTCAGGGTGATAGATTTGGGCCCAGTGGGTCAAGGAACCACTGAGACAGGCTCAGGAGCCCAGAACCTATTCTCAGGAAGGTTCTGGGCTTGTAGCTCCTGGCCACAACTCCTAAGAGTCAGTTCTGGGGGTTCCCAAGTCTCAAACTAGGCATCCTGACACTTTGGATGTCTAGAAGCAAGAGAAAAGAAAGGGGTATACCTCAACCATCTCCTGAGTTAGGACCCAAAACTGGCCACCACCACCCCACAGGTCCTCCATCCCTTTCATGTTACCAGCTGCCCCAAACTTCTTCACCTGTTGCCAAAGCCACCACACATTTGCCACTCATTTCTGTGGTCTCTGCAGATGGCAGATTTAATTTGAACTGAAACAGAGGGACAGTTAAGTGAAGAAGTTAGTTTCCAAGAGCACTGCCAAGTCTCTTCCCTGCTTTCAGCTTCTGTTCCAGGAGAAAGAATTCCTTCATCACTGCCCCTGCAGCACTCACATCTTGGTAGGTGCTGGAGGCACCCTTCCCTATGGCCAGGCGAACCCTGTACCCCAGCACCCCAACCTTCCATAGTGGGAGAATCGGGGAATGCCAGATATGCCTGTACCTTTTAGTTAGTTCAGTGTGGGAGTCAAGACTGTGGGCTTCAACCTGGGACTGCCTTACCACTTTCGGTGTATGTGGCCTTGAATGAGTTTCTTAACCTCTCTAGGACTCAGTTTTGCCATCTGTAAAATGGACATACTGTCTTCCTCTCAGGATTAAAAGCTACAGCATGTGCCTGCCACAGTAAGCCCCTGGGTATTTGTATTTACTCTTTGTGTTGTTACTGTCTAGTCATGGAGGAGGGAGAGGCAGATTCCCCTGCATTCTCTGCCTCCCTCACCCTCCCCTCGCCAACCTTCTCAAACATGGGATCTTTGATGTCCTTCCTTGAAACCTCCATCAGCATTTCTGTCTGCACCATCCCTGGCCACAATGACACATAGCTGACTCCATGGCGCCGCAGCTCCAGGGCACAATCAGCAGCCAGCCTGTCACACTGTAGAGGGACAGAAGGTGGGGTGAGAACCAGGGCACTGGGCCCTGTCACCTTTCTCCCCTGTCATCCCTGGTCTAGGCCCCTGACCTTCCCAGGAGTCCTTGGGTCCCAGTTGTCCATCTTCCCAGGGTGCTGTCTACTCTGCTTGGCTGAGAGGAGCCCAGGAAAAGGAACTGCGCATGGAGGGTTGGGGGAGGGGTATGGGCCAGCTGACCCTAACCACTTTGACCGCCAGGGATGGACCCTCCTGAGCTATGGGTACCGTTACTGTCCTGCACCTCTCCGACCTCCATGCCATTGGGTCCTTACCCCAGCTTTGCCCACTCCGTAGGGAACACTGAACAAATACTGCAGCCCTCCAACAGAGGAGATGACCACGATGAGGCCGCGGCCAGCCGGTACCATCAGCCGTGCACCGTACACAGAACACAGGTAGTGGCCTCTAGAAGGTGGGACAAGAAAGAAGGAGTGGGGGCCTCCCCTGGTGGCGCAGCGGTTGAGTGCTGGGCTGTGAAGCTGCCCGCAGCCTCTGCAGTGCTGGTTTGTTCCCCAGCCGCTGGCGAGGGTCCCACATGGTGCACAGACCTCTCCGGCTGCGCCCGCTGCTCCCCGCAGCAGTGTACTTCATCAGTCTGCCTGTTCTGTTCCCTGCTCTGACTCTGGTGAATCCTCTCACCCTCCCGTGCTTCTGATTGTACCCAGTGCTTGTATAAATAAATAAATAAATCTTTAAAAAATTAAAATTAAATTAAAAAAAAAAAAGGAGTGGATAGCATTTAGTGCTAGACTGGGTGCTAGAACCCCAAAAGCTTCCTCTGCCCTCTAGTGGCTGTAGTCAGCTGGGAGAAGGGCACAGAGGGGGCAGTCCCTGGGGGATCAGGGGCTTGAGGCCACATTCTGAGAGGAACACTGGCCAGTGGAAATGCAAATCTTTAGACGATATAATGAGAGGAAGGAGCTCTGTCATAATAGCAATAACAAACTAAAATAGCTCAAGGGGGGAAATCATAAGAAATAGAGAAGGTCTACCTGGAAAAACTATAAAATTCTGTCTAATATACACGTGCACACAAAATTTGTTCGAAGAGCTAATATGTAAAACATAAGTTCTTAAATTAATCCATAGAGTCAGTCTACTTGAGTTATATCTCAGTAGGGCTTTCAGGGAAGTTGACAAAATAATCTAGAGCTCAAGGAAATAAACATGAGAATAGCCAAGGAAATTCTGTAAAAGGAAAAGCAATTATCTTTTTTCTCCCCCTGCATTAAATGCATTAAAATACACAATGGGATAACAGATAAAAGAATGCAGTACAGGTATAACAATGCACAGATATGAAATAAAATAGGCAATAATTAAATCCAGCAAGGATGCAGAAAATTATAAAAAGAACACTTCAAACTGATGGGGCAAGATGGATCAATCAAAAGGTAGATCTGGGGAAACTGACCAGTTATTTGTGTGGGATTGGCTCTCTACCTCATTTTTCATTTCAAAATGCACTCCGAAAGGGCAAAATACTTGCATATTCAAAAATGAATGCAACAGAAGCACTAAAAAAAAGCATGACTGAATGTGTTCATAAACTTGAGGTGTGGAAGTCTTTTCTTAGCATCTTTTCATACAAAGAACTGGCAGATATGCTTTAAAGATAAGATACATATGGGGACTTCCCTGGTGGCACAGGGGTTAAAATTTCAGTGCTATCAAACAATCGCCAGTCACGGCAGCATGAGTTCCATCCCCGATCAGGACGCTGACCCACATGGCACAGCAGACCTCTCCTGTCTCGTCTGCTGTTCCCCTCAGCAATGTATTTCAGTAGATTTCCCTGTTCTGCTCCCCACTCTGTCTCTGGTGAGCCCTCTTATCCCCTGCACTTCTGGCCTATACCCCAGTTCTTATGTGCATAAATAAATAAAAATAAATCTTAAAGAAGATAAGATACATACGTATATATCTATATACCTAAACACATACACATACAGCTCTATATTTATGAATAATAACTTGGGAACAAATATTTGTAAAACACACATCAAAGGAACCTATTCCTTGAAAAGCTCTTATAAATCGATGCAAAATGAATAACTTAATAACACAAACGACAAAAACTCACAAAAGAATAAAAAGCCTATAAACAAATGAAAACTCAATCTCACAAATAATAAAGAAGTATGAATTAGTCATGTGAAATCCTGAGGGGAGGGGAAAGGGAGAATATGAATTGAAATGACCTCTAGATATCTTTGGCTTAACAGTGTGGCCTGATACTGTCTAGGGTGATTGAGGGATGGGGAAGCAGATACTATCCTTCATTATCTCGAGATTATAAATTGGGGGGTCTCTTTGGAGCACAGTTTGATGATGTTTATTACATTTTTAAGAAGCACTATTGCAACAGGTGAGGGATTGGATTAAAAAAAGCTATGGCACCTCCTCCCAGAGGAATATTTAAAAGGACCGCAGAACACAGATGAGGCTATTAACAGTAGCTATATCTCAGTTAAGGGAGGAAGAGGTGGCTGTGAGGGGAGTAAGGTTATAGTGGTCTTCACATTGTTCTGGGATTACTTTTTTGAACCAGTCATCTTCTATAGGGTGTTCTCAATTAGGATATGAGAGGATTCAGGGTGCCAGGCAAAGAAGGTCAAGGTCAGGGATGCAGAGTACCCTTCACACTAGGTCTCTGCAGTGCCACTTGTGCAGCTGCTCATGTCTGAGCTCCTTGTAAGAACACCAGTAGTTGACGAGCACATGAGATACCTACACCAAAGAAACCGAAACCCTTTCTTCACGTTGACCTACTTGCTCAAATAACAGAAGTAACTGCTTTGAAACACTCTAGCAGTGCCTTTAGAGGTAAATCCCATGTCAGTATCTAGTTTGGCAGCTTCTCTAGTTTGACATCCAAGAATTTCTTTTCTTTTAATGGAACAACTGACTATTGGTCTTAAAAATATGGGTGACCATACATTTTTTTTTCAAATAACACACACATAACTTGGTAACTGGAAAACAATTTTTTTTTTTTTTTTACATAGGGAACAGCACCCTCCAAATGAAAACAAGTAGAGGGAGTTACAGTTTAAAAAGGAATACCCAGCCCCAAGGTCATATGAAGAAAAGGCACGTGAATGTGTATGGGAAGTAACGTGTGGGTGGGCTTCCAAGAGGCCCATGATGTGACATTTACATTGGAGAACTCACAAGCAAATTCATGAGGGATCAGTTTCTACATTGGCTCTGGTGTCTACATTGTAGGCTCAAAACCCTGAGCAGCAAGTGATGGGGGTGTGGAGGGCTGAGGGTGAGGGTGTTCCTGACTTCTAGCTCTGGGTTTTCTTTTCTTTTCTTTTTTTTTTTTTTTTAAAGATCTATCTATTTATGCATACAAGAGCTGGGGTACAGGCCAGAGGTGTGGGGTGTGTGTGTGTGAGAGGATTCACCACAGACAGAGTGGGGAACAACAGGCGACTGACCGAAGTGCACTGCTGAGGGGAGCAGCAGGAGAGTCAGGGGAGGTCTGCTGCACCATGTGGGTTGCTCCCTGGCGGGCCAGGGAATCGAACTCGTGCTGTAGAGGCTGCGGATTGTTTTATAGGTTGCATCTTAACCCCTTGCGCCACCAGGGAGGCCCCTGGGTTTTCTTTTCTTGCCTCTGGGCTAACCATCCTCCTCTGTCCTCACCACCTTTCTTCTACTTTGGAAATGGCTTTCTTGGGATTGCCACTAGAGTCCCGGTGGCTTTTGTCACAAATTTACAGGTAATGTCTTGGTTACTCCCACAGGAGCCTAATTACATCCACAGAGTGTAATTTCTGAGAGGGTACCATTGTTTCAACAATAACAAACAGAGACATAGCCGGTGTAGTTCATGTTGGGCAAACTCTAAATGCCGTGGTTCATCCCACTCCTGTGCCTGATGCAAGCATAACCCCATCATGCGCCAGTCGTCCTGACTTTTACCTGGAGTGCCCTTGCCTATAGGTTTGGAGTAGGTATGTAGAGGTTAAGATGGCTGGCTCTCTCTTTTCTGTGACCTTCTCTTGATCTTAAACAAAACTCTTTCTTTCCCTAATCATTTTTGGAAATACTCATGAATGGACGGTGTGCATTATGCAGGGAAGGAGCCTTCCTTCTGGGTCACACATTTGAATGGGTAAACAGTCAAAACATCAGAAAAGCTGAGGGCAAGTTGAAAATGACTGATAGAAACAAGGCAAAAGATGATGTCCCCAGGTATAGATTTACCAGGATGGAACTTCTCCAGAGGTGAGTTACACAGGTGGGACAGAAAGAAGAAAGAGATGGTGAGGTCAAGAAAAAGGAGAGGGCCTATTGGGAAGGTTCAGGTCTTCAGTGGCTAAGTGAGGCAAGAGGAGCACCCACCTGAGTCCAGCATTGTTGATATCATCCCACACGGAGGCAGGGCATTCCCAGAATGCCTTCTTAAGATTTTCGAAGATAGCCTGGAAGGCACAGGGAGGGTGATAAATTGGCTGATCTGAAGGCAGGAGGGATGAGGGGCCGGATAATGGAAGGGAAAATGAGTGCAGAAGAGGATTCTGGGGTCAGAGGGAAAGGTCAGAAGTGCAGCGCTGGGATCTGAGTTCATGAAGTACCTGGGCCCCAGCAAAGGCATTGTTGACCAGCACATCCAGACGCCCATGCTGTTCCCGATCCACCTGTTCAAACAGACTTTGCACTTGACTCTCCTGGCTTGAATCGCACACCACGGGCACACACCGGCCCCCTCGGGATTGTGCCTGGAGAGGTAGGAGGGATATGAGCTCACAGTCATACACAAGTGTGAGAAATAACGCAACTCCCATCAACTCCTGGCTTGAGAGCCAAGAAAGAAAAATCACAGGAATCAAAGCTGGCAGCTGAGGCGACATGGTAGGCAATACTGCCCTCTGGTGCCGAGTGAGGAGTTTCAGGAAAGCGAGGTCCCCTTATTAGAGAACTGCATGGATTGGAATCTCAGATTTAAAATCTGCAATTCAGGGCCTCCCCGGTGGCGCAGCGGTTGAGCGCTGGGTTGCGAAGCTGCGCGCGGCCTCTGCGGCGCCGGTTCGATCCCCGGCTGCTCCCCGGCCACCAGAGGAGGGTCCCACATGGCGCGCAGACCTCTCCTGCCGCCCGCTGCTCCCCTCAGCAGTGTACTTCGGTCCTTCTGCCTGCTCTGCTCCCCGCTCTGGCTCTGGTGAATTCTCTCGCCCTCCCGCGCTTCTGACTGTACCCAGTGCATGTATAAACAAAACAAACAAAGAAACCAGCAAACAAATAAATAAAGCATGCCTCTATAAAAAAAAAAAAAAAGATATCATTTAAAAAAAAAAAAATAAAAATAAAATCTGCAATTCAAAAAAAAAAAAAAACAAACATATCTATGTGTCCCTAAAAAAAAAAAAATCTGCAATTATTTACTGAGGACTACTAATGTGCAAGGCATTATAGTCTGCTGGGAGCTGCTCTTGAGAAATGAGGATCTATGTTTTCCTTATCTTTGGTCATTTCCTTCCAGCTAAGGGCATCTTTTAGCATTTCCTCAGCTCCCACCTTCACCACTCTCATGGAACCCCTACTAATCCCAGTCTTCTTATTCTCTGAGAATGCCCCTGTCTGGTACCTGAGAAGTCAAAGCTCTCAGGTCTAAACTATTTCTACTTCCTATTCTGCCTCACCCTCTACAATTGTGCCCCCATCCTCCAACTCCTGCGAAAGAAGAGTACCTGATTCAAAAACAATCCTCTTAGTGTCAAAAGGTATAAATTTCCAGTTATAGAATAAATAAATCATGGGGATGTAATGTACAACATGGGGTCTAAAGTTAATAATACTGTATTCATATTTTAAAGTTGCTAAGAAAGTAAAATATAAAAGTTCTCATCATAAGAAAAGTTTTGTAACTATGTAGGTAACAAAGGGTAACTAGATTTTTTTTATGGTGATCATTTCCTAAAATATACAAATACTGAATCATGTTGTACACCTGAAACTAATATAACACTATATGTCAGTTATACTGCAATAAAAAAATAGATGCAAAACAAAAAACAATCTCTCATTTCTCCAAATCCATGCCCCAGGTCCTACTCTCTTGAGTCCTTGCCTCCTAACTGCTTGCCTGACTTGTCCTCAGGAAATTAATTCTTCCTCTCAGCCAGTGTGAATGATCAAGTCTTCCAACTAAAATACTATCCCTTAGAGAACAAAGTCTAAAAAGTTCTTCAGACTTTCTGCTTCATTTACAGCCTCTCACCTATCACTAACCTACCACCTTCCCTTGTACTTTGCCTTGTACTCTGATGCTTTGGCATTCTTTCTCATATTATTCACACTTATTTACCCCTGTCCCTCTCCTGTGTAACTCTCTTTGGTGGACTGGTTTTCTTAAACTTCCTTTCTCTAACTCTTCCCTTTCAAATCTCAGTCCTAGAACCGCTTTCTCAGAATGCTTTCCAGGTAGTATTTTAATGCCCACCTCCATGCTTCCAGAACACATTTCCTTGTTATTTACCATGGTCACATTACATGGAAATTATTAGTTTCTGCCTCTGCCTTCCTGTTAGACTCTATTAAGAACAGCAGTTATATCTCATTAATCCTGGTAGCCAGGTGGTTTACCCTGTGCCTAGCAAATCAAATGCACCCACATATTAAACTGAAATCCAGAAGAAAAGTCAAGTGAAACTGTACAATTCAATGAAAGGAAAGCACAGATCCGCAATTCTTTAGTTACAATTTCAAATCTCTGAAGCTCTCAAATTTTTTTTCATAAAACTCTTGGTAGCAAAATTTGATCCGAAGTTATTTATGGGGTTTATTTATCTGAATAAAAATCAGATCGAAATTTGATTCAGATCAAAATTTGATCTGAAGTTATTTATGGGGTTTATTTATCCCACTTTGATTACTCACATTTTGTGGAGGAATATTACGGTTTTAGTTAAAGGATTAGGAGAATGACTGGTTAATGGGAAGGACTCCCTCAGGAAGCTTCCACCACGCTGGACCCCGAGTAGCACTCACCTCCTGAGCAGTGGCTTGCAAGCTATCTATACGGCGACCAGTGATATAAACTGTGGCCCCTGCTTCGCAGAGCTGCAAAGCGATACCGCGGCCAATACCTCTGGAAGCACCGGTCACTACGCACACTTGGCCCTTCATGGGAGCTGCCATTATTCACAAGCGATAGAGGAAAGTCTGTGGGAACAAAAACTTGCTCTGAAGGGAGCCTGCAGATTGTGTACGTGAATGGGAGAGCCCCGATAGTGGTAGGAGAGGGAGCCAAGGTTGGAATCCTTTGAGGGGAGGGACGTTTCAGAGGGGAATAATGAAGTCAAAGTCCCAAGGCAAGTCTGGCTTCCTTTGGGGAGGCCAGAGAGTGAAGAAGGGCGTTGGGTAGGGGCTGGACACCTACCGGGACTCTGAATGGGGTAACTAACTGGGTAGGGGATTTTTGGCAAGGCAGTCCCTCAAGACGCGTCCACGCAGAGTCCTGGGCTTTCTGGAGCTCTAGACCCTCACCTGACCCCGTCAGGCTGAGCCCGAGATCGTGGCTCGGTCAGGGGTGATCGCGAAGCCCGGTGTCTCTAAGTCTTAAGTGAAGTTCACGCTTCTTACCAGTCACCTGTGCAGCCTACCTCGCAAATCTCGGAAACGAGAACTGTCAATCCGGTCGCAGGGGCAGGACGCAGTGACCACGACTGGGTCAGAGCGAGAGGCTAGGGTGCAAATCCAGGTCTGGGCTGGTGACAGCGAGCGGCGAGGAATCTCCTCGAAAGAGTGACCAGCGGCTATTCAGGGCCGGAGTCCGGACCCGTAGGTAGAGGCGGGGCGGCCCGGGGACACACCCATTCCGGCCCCGCTAGGGGCCGTCGCAGGGCTCTGACGTCGTGCGCTGCGCCTGGAGCGCGCAGGCGTGTGGGACACTGGGGACCCGGCTCGCAGCTGGCTGCTTGGCCTGTTGGCGCGGCTAAGGAAGATTTTGCTGGCGGAGAGGGCCCCAGGAACCCATGGGGCTCGGTCCGCGCTCACCCCACAAGGCGGGGCACCGGTTCCCAGCTGGCGGCAAACGAGGCCGAGGGGCCAAAGGAGCGGGGCGCCCACCACCTGGCCGCGAGCGGCAGCCCTGCCCGCCCGCTGACGGGCGCTCAGACCTGGCTCTAGATGCGCACCCTCACCTGAGCCCCGAAGCTCTGGGGTATTTCCGCCGGGCGCTCTCGGCGCTGAAAGAAGCTCCCGAGACTGGAGAAGAGCGAGGTAGGGAACATCTTCGGGATGGGACCAATAGAGGAATTGGGGGGGGGGGGCATAAAATCCAGGGCAGGTAAAGAAATTTTCGTGGGTCCCCAGGGTTTGGGAACTTAGTTTCATATCCCATGTCCTCTTCTCATCCCGCCCTTTGATTAAGTGATGGAGTATAACCTTATCCTCTGTTCAGTCTCTCTTTTTTTTTTTTTAAGATTGATTTATGCATACAAGAGTTGGGGTATAGGCCAGAGATGCGGGGGGTGAGAGGATTCACCAGTGACAGAGTGGGGAGCAGAACAGGCAGACTGACTGAAATAAACTGCTGAGGGGAGCAGCGGGTGAGACAGGAGAGGTCTGCCTCGACATGTGGGTTTCTCCCTGGCTGGCTGGGGATCCTGCTGCAGAGGCTGTGGATTGCTTCATAGTGCGGTGTTTAACCCCTTGCGCCACCAGGGAGGTCCTCTGTTCAGTCTCTTTAAAATATATCTTGTTTTAACAGAGCTGATGGTGCACAATGTTTTGAAGGAAGTGGAGACTCAGGCCCTAGCCTTGGCCACAAACAGGACTGGCAGTGAGATGCTGCAGGAACTGTTGGCGTTCAGTCCTCAGAAACCGCTGTGTCGAATATGGGCTGCTCTGCGTTCCAAGTTGCGCTTGATAGCCTGTCACCGCTGCGGGGTCCATGTACTGCAAAGTGCTTTGCTGCAGCTGCCTCGATTGTTGGGGAGCTCTGCAGAGGATGAGGAGTTAGTAGTGGAAGACGATGGGAAGGATGGTGCCTTGGATACCCTGGAGGAGCTGGTCCTGGGATTAGCCTCTGAGGTGTGTGATGATTTTCTTTTCTACTGTGGAGACACACATGGCAGCTTCGTGGTCCGAACTCTACTGCAGGTGTTAGGAGGGACTCTTCTGGAGTCTGAGCAAGCCAGGCACCGTGGCTCCCAGTCATGTGGTAAGTATTACAGGAAAGGGGAGTGGAGTTAGAGGAAAGGAGTTTAAGAAGATTAGAAGGAGAGAGTAAGCAGAAGAGTGATTCTTCATGATCTTGAGAAATAAGGACATGGTTTATCAGACCAAACTAGTGGGCACAGAGGACCCGAGGTGGATGCTTAGTTATGTTTAGTGCACAGGTATTAGAATGGGGACAGGGGGATGAGGTGATTTATTTGAGCAATGGCTTTCAAACTTAACCACAACTCCCTGTAAGAAATTTGTTTTTTTAAAATATGACCCAACATATGTATGTGTATCTATAGACATGTTGAATTTGAGTAAAAGTTTGGGGAAAAAAATGCTCTTAGTATGTGAAACCCACTCAAATTTTTTCTTTCCTTTTTTATTCTATTCAATTCCAAGAATCAATTCCATGCTGACTGAGACCCACTACACTGATTTCATGATGCATTCATAGGTAGTCACCTACATTTTGTAAAAACTCTGGGAAATGTTAGATTGTTAGATGAAACCTGGTTTTGAAACACCTTGAATTCTTGGCTGAGGAGTTTGAACTATCTCCTGTTGACCATGGGGGAGCTGGTTGACATTTCTTAGAAAAATTAAAACAGAAATTTAGTCCCAGTTTAATCATCCAGATGAGTGGAGATGCTCAGTTGTACTGTATGTGCTCTGCAACTCTTGGCTGAATGCTTGTTCATCTCTGGACTAATTCTCCCTCCTGGATGGTAGTTTGTGATCTCCCCACTGTACATGTTCTTCATCTCCTTTAGAAGCACAAAGAATCCCAGTTCGGGAATGTAAGCCAACTGATTTTGAGGTCCCTGAAACCTTCTTGAATCGTCTTCAGGACTTGTGTTCCTGCTTTCTGAAAGACATTGCTGGTAAGGAGGAAAATAGAAGGAGGGTGTAGGATCTACTTTTCTGGATGTGATTATCATTGTACAAGACCCCTATTTAAATCGGTCTTATTCTTTTCATATGTGATCTGCAAAGACTCTGTGTAGAACCTTTGTACCTTATTGCTTGAGGTTTGAGGTTGTATAAGATTTTTGAAAAGCTACTTTTGTTATTTCTGTCCTCCCTGCACAGTATTTGTCACTGACAAAATCTCCAGTTTCTGCCTTCAAGTGGCCTTACAGATCTTACACAGAAAACTGCCCCAGTTTTGTGCCCACCTCTGCAATGCTGTGATTAGCTACCTGAGTAGTCGCAATTCCTCAGCAGATGGCAGGTAAGGTCAGCCAAGGTTAATGGGACTGTGAAATAAATGAAATGACGTAGGTATTTTGGATGCAGTAGAGTTGTCTTGATTATCTTCTTGTCTAGCCCACTGCTGCTCTTTTTGCGGGATCAGACGAGCTCCAGACTCCTGGAGCAGGTTCTTCGGGTGCTGGAGCCCCGGAAACTCCAGAGCCTCTTTGTGGATCATTTCCAAGGGCAGTTGCAGACACTGGCTGCGCATCCTATTGCCAACTTCCCTTTGCAGCGTTTACTGGATGCAGCCACCACCCCTGAGCTGGTGAGTCGGGACCTGGGTTAGATCTGTTCTGCACTCTGTTGTTTCTAGCTCATTGGGCTGCCTTTTATTGTGTGCCTGCCTTAGTGTCTCTGACAGTATGATGACCATTCCCCTTGCAGATTTATTCCTAGGGGTTTCCCAGAACTTAGGATGAAAATGCCTTCTTGGCAGAAAGGATTTGTTTGGATTCTCTCAAGTGCCAATGCCAACAGCAGACAAGCTTCATCCAGTCACAGCTTGAGTTTCAGATTCTTGGCTACAAGTCCATCTGCATGCTGGATCTGTTGCCATAGCTTCTTTTCCTTTGCTGCTTAGCACCAAGGCATGCTTCCCTGTGGCCTCGTGGGTTATGATTTGGGGTGGAAAGGCTAGTTCCAGTACTCCTTTGCCCTGAGAGTATGGCCGGTTGAAGTCTCCTCCCCATGTGAGGTGATATCTCTAAGACTGTCCTTCTGCCCTGGACTTCATCCAATACAAGTGCTTTTATGTTTTATCTAGCAATTTTAGTTATTTTTGGCAGGAATATTTCTCTGAATAACTGTTCCCACTGTTAATGAAATGCCAAAGATTCTCCATTCCTTGTCTCTCCTCAGCTGTCCCCCATGTTTGAGGAGCTGGGCCCGGCACTAGAAGCTGTACTGGCCCAGGGTCACACAGGAGTTGTCATTGCCCTGGTCGGGGCCTGCCGTAGAGTCGGGGCCCACCAAGCCCAGGTGCTGCAGCTGTTGTTGGAGGTGAGTGCACATTACCTGCAATCCATTTATGCCCTTTGCTGGAATTATACTTGTTAAGATGTATGTAGTCTTCAGTGTTTTTATTCCTGTACCCAAGAGATCAGATGCCCAGGGATTTCTCAGATGCGGAGAAAAGTGAGACCCAAACCATCTCATAGCCCTGGAATGAACATTGTCTCCCAGAATTAAGAGAAGTTAAGTTAAGGAATGAATGTTTATTCAACCCTTGTTATGTGTACAGAGGCTGGGCATACCGCAAGGTAGCTGAGATTCTGTCCTTGCGGAGCTTATATTCTTATAGTTAGGCTTTTTCATTTCTTCTAAATACTTTCCCTGTCCAGGAAGCTGGGGTTAGAAGTAAATAGTTTTCAGAATTGTCACATTTTGTCTTCCCCTCTAGGCATTCCACTGTGCAGAGCCCTCCTCCCGGCAGGTGGCCTGTGTGCCTCTCTTTGCCACTTTGATGGCTTATGAAGTATACTATGGGCTGATGGAGGAGGAAGGGGCCGTGCCCGCGGAGCACCAGGTGAGGTCGGGGAGAGCAAGCCTGTGGGGCCACGCCTCCCAGGGCTGAGGAAATCCCTCACCCATGAGGTGAGGGTGGTGAGATCTCTGGCTTCATCCAAAAGGTGGCTGCCTCCTAAATCCCTGTCTGTGTCTTCCCAGGCGGAAATGGCTGCAGAGAGGGACTTGGGGGAAGTGACAGTTCTTGGGTCTCTACTGCTCCAGCATCTGCTGCACTTCTCCACTCCTAGTCTTGTGCTTCGAAGTCTGGGTGCCTTGACAGGACCACAACTTCTGACTCTGGCCCAAAGCCCTGCGGGTTCCCATGTGCTTGATGCTGTCCTGACAAGCCCCTCTGTGACGCGCAAGCAGCGCCGCCGCGTGCTGAAGACACTAAAGGTTAGACTTCTGGCTTCTGCTATGATTCCTCACCATCATGTGTTTAGAGAATGAGCTTCTCCCAGTGTCTGAAAGAGGACTATGTAGTTCCTTGACTGTTTCAACTCAGACTCTAATCTTCTGAAACTTTACTCCCTCTGTTGCACCCCTATGCCTACCCCCAACACACTTTTGTAGTCTTCCCAACAGGGACCTGTCTGTCTTGTCTCAATGTAGGGACAGTATGTGGCTCTGGCCTGCAGTCGCCATGGCAGCCGTGTGCTCGATGCCATCTGGAGTGGAGCAGCTTTGGGGGCCAGGAAGGAAATCGCTGCTGAATTGGGTGAGTACCATTACCTCTCTTTGACCTTCCCAAACTTGCCCTTTCCTCACTCCATATAGCTGGGTGGCTGGGGATAGACTTCCAAAGGGTGGTCTTGGCCATGGGGTTTTTAGCATTCTCCTCTCCCCATCCTCTCTGCTAATTGTGCAGCCCTGTCCCACCCTGTCCCCCTGCTTCTGCTCTATGGAGAGCGAGGTGTTAACTCTATCCCACAGTAGGCCTAGCGTCCAGGGAAAATGGTAGGTCTAATGGTCCAGGGCCCACGTAGAGTCTCTGTGGGCATTGGGTGTGTGACTGCATGGTGATACTGAATGCGAGTGGTTCCCTTTGCAGGTGAGCAGAACCAGGAGCTGATAAGAGACCCTTTTGGCCACCATGTGGCTCGCAACGTGGCCCTGACTACCTTCCTGAAGCGAAGAGAGGCTTGGGAACAGCAGCAGGGGGCAGTGGCCAAGCGGAGGCGGGCCTTGAACTCAATACTTGAAGACTAAAACCTTTGGATATGGGACTGGGTGTTGATGGGGGAGAGGAGAGGGAGTATCTTGTTCTTTTTCTTAATTTAAATTGCAGTCAAAAGTCTTACTAGTAAACATTTTTATATTTTTATTGGAAATGTTTCTGTTATTTTTGGGGGTGGGTACAAAGAAACAGATCTTGGTAAAGTCAGAGAAGGCTATCTTATGGGTACTGGGGAGCTTAGGGACAGGGGGAGTTGTAAAGAATCTAGATGCAGCAATAATCAAGGTAGAATGAAGATGCTTGGAGATAGACTTGTGACCTTTTAGAGCACGTGGGAGGCTGGAAAGATGTCTAGGAAGGGACAGCATTCTTTAGGAAAGGATACAGGCTAGGCACCCTGGTGGGGCCTGTCAGGACAGGGTCACAGGACAGTGGGGAAATCAGATGAGTTGTCTAGTCTGCACTGTCCACCGGTACCCAAGCCTGGTCAGAGTCCTCAGTGTGTCTCTTGGAATGAGTCTAGGGCAGAAGCCCAGAGCCCCTTCTCAGTAGCGATGGAGATGATGCTGTCGTTGCCACTGCCATTGCTCGACTCCCTCCACTACATGGCGGATGCTGGAGGCAACCCCCAGTAGCATGTTGCCCAGGCCTTGCAGCAGTGCGGAGGTCCAGCGAAGGAGCTCCCTGAAGGGCGAGAGGAGGAAGTCAGCTGTGTAGTGGGAGCCAGGAGGAGGCCTGTTTCCACAGGGGTAGGTGCGTGCAGAAGGGATATTAGGGACCTGGACTGTAGAGGATGGGGACACAACACGGTGCTATCTGACCTGAGTACTTTCTTCGGGCCAAGTCCTTGGAAGTCACAACTCATGGAGTAGAGCCCGTAGAAGGTGGCCTTGACATTCAGGCTGCCAAACAGGTCACGAGGGTTTTGCTTGTATACATCGAAGGTGATGCGGGCGATGTCCTTGCTGTGCTTGGGTTTCTCTCGGCCTAGGCCATATGACAGGACCCCACTCTGTAGGGGCACCCCCATCAGTGCAATGGAACTTCACACTTGACACCCACCACTCCCTCCCATCAGCACCGGGTCAGACTGCCCATGCCTGGACTGCAGGACACTAAGGTGTCCATTGGCACTGTTTCACCTCCCATAGTGCCTCTGCCAAGACCAGGGTGAGGCTAGAGAAGAAGCTTGGGAGAGAGAGAAAGGATTGGTGGTTTCTAGCAGCCCCAGTATGAGCCTCTCACCCTGGGGGAGCTCCAGCTCTGCCCGAACTCCAGCACCATTAGGCATGTGTCATCCTCCAACAGCTGAAAGAAGTCTTCACTTTCCACAGTGGTCCCGTCCTCCTCCAGCACCAGGGTTGGCACTCCTCTCAACGCCAGAGTCTCCGATGCCTTTCCAGAGGCAAGAAGCCAGAGGGAAGGGCTGAGCTTATCCAGTGTCCCTTCCCTTGCCAGTTGCTGGGCAGCCACTGCTTAACCTCAGACGTTGGTAGATACCCAAACACTTTGCCATTCCTTCAGATGACTCCAGCTCTCTGTTCTTTAATTGTTGGGGCACCTTCACTAGGCACTGACCTTTTCTTGTACTTGCTCCCACCATGTCCGGTCATTGCCATCTACTCCCCTCCAAGTTGTTCTACTGGTTTGGAATTAAAAGCTAGTCAGGGGCCTCCCTGGTGGCTCAAGGGGTTAAGACGGCCAGGGAGCAACCCACATGGCGCAGCAGACCTCTCCAGACCTCTCCTGACTTGCCCGCTGTTCCCCTCAGCAGTGTATTTCAGTCCATCCACCTGTTCTTTTTCCCCACTCTCTCTGGTGAATCCTCTCACCCCCCTAACCCCCCACCCCGCATCTCTGGCCTGTACCCCAGTTCTTGTATGCATAAATAAATACATAGATAAATAAATAAATCTTTAAAAAAAAAGCTCTAGTCAGTTTCTCTTAAAGTCCATCCTTCTTATTTCCAATGTTCCAACTCACTCTCTCCCACACTCACAGAGACTTCCAGAACTACTTTTAGTAGTGACTCAGTCTTTTTTTTTTTTTCTCAAAATATGCCAGGTATCTGTAGCATCTCATATGCATTATCTTTTACTCCTTTCAACAAACCCTACGGCGGCGTGAGTATTGAAAAGTTGAATAACTTCCCAAGGTTTGATACTGGCAAAGGACAGGATCAGGATTTGAACTTGATTTGTCATACAAATTACCATTCCACACTGACTCCTCACTTCCAACCCTCTCACCTCTCTACCTATTCCTTCCCTACCTCAACAAAAGCCCATGTTTTTGAAAAAAATGATCTGGCCCAAATGCAGCAGAGGTCATTGGGCCCCCCCCCCACCCGCTGCTGTTAGGCCTCCATGTAGCTGCCTCGTAACCTCAGCCCTTTTTGCTCCTCATTCCATGTGCCCACTCTTCTCCAGCCCCTTGGCTTCCCCTGCAATAGGAACCCGGGCCTTTGGTGCACTCACCTTGTCTAGCAGTTCCTGGTAGGTGGCAGCTGTTAGGCCTTTGCGGGTGGTCCGCTTATGATCACAGACACGGAAAGGTCGCTGGGGCGGTGGAGCTGAGGTCCAGACCCTACGGCCAACCTCAGAGCTCACACTGGACACTGACCTGGTAGTTGGGAAGAAAGGTCAAGATGGAGTGAGGGTGTTGTTGAGCACTGTGAGGATGATGGGGGTGGGGCGGCTGGGAAGGAGGGATCTAGGTTTGTAAATTAGAATACCCAAGGAGAGGGAGAGACCACAGACCAGGGGTGGAGGAGAGTGGTTCCGGAACGGGGCAAACCCGATGATGTGGGAAGTGGCAGGAAGGGGAAGGGGTACAGGTTTGAGTGTCTCCTAGGAGCTGAATGATGTTTGTTGCTCTACCCCTACCCCCAGAGTTGAAGGGTGAAGGTAGGGTTAGAAATCACCTGAGCAGGCTGCTGGGGTTCAGGGCAGAGAGGTAATCCATCGAGGGAAGGAATAGGAGAGATGCCTCTCTCAGTGGGTTCCGGGCTGAGTGCTTCTCCCTGTGCTGGTGCTGAAGTGTTTTCTGTTACAGAGTTGGGTTCTTAACCCCTGTCAGGTGGGGGATGAGTCAAGAATGGACTCTGCACCCCCCCAACCTGGCTAGAAGGGCAAAGTCCAAGGGGAGGAACCTGGGGGAGGGGCTGCAATGGGTAGTGGAGGAAAGACTGAGGTCCAGAGTTGCCCAGCAAAAGCGACAGGAACTGTGTGCTGTGAGGGCAAACAGGAACTATGCACGAGGATGGAATGTCATCTGGTGTTTTTTTTTTTAATGAAGGATATTTCATTAAATATCCTTCTCCCAACCTGTGAGAAGCTACATTATATAAGATTTGCGCTGTCTGTGTGCTGCCACCTACTGAAAAAGCCATAAACTGAAGCTTTAGGAAAAGGGAGGCGGGACTGAGGATGGAATATTGGGCAGGGCTTGGAGAAAATGAGGTCAGGTAGTGCAGCCTGGGAGAGTGAGGAGAGGATGGATTCTGCTCCAGGATCACCAGGACACTGGTGTGGCTGCTCTTCTAGGAGAAAAGCCAGCTCAGTATTTCTCTGGCTTCATTCTCTAAAACTGCCTGTTTCAGTCAAACTGGATTAGTGAGCACGAAGGCGATGTGAAAGTGGTGGGAGGACATCCTTTGATGGCATCAGGACTTTGGCTTTTGGCACCAAAAGCCCTGATCTCTGGTTTCAGCTACAGCCGTGGATAGCTTCGTGGAGGCTCAGACTCACTGACAGTGAACCCCTCACATGGGTGCAAGTCTCTGCTGTCCTGCCTACTAGTCTTTTTTTTTTCACTTTTTTTAAATTTTTTTTTACTTTTTTTTGACTTTTTCGACTTTTTTTTTTTTACTTTTTTTTTAAAAGATTTATTTATTTATGCATACAAGAGCTGGGGTACAGGCCAGAGATGCGGGGGGTGAGAGGACTCACCAGAGACAGAGTGGGGAACAGAACAGGCAAACTGACTGAAATACACTGCTGAGGGGAGCAGTGGGTGAGACAGGAGAGGTCTGCTGTGCCATGTGGGTTGCTCCCTGGCCAGCGGGGATCGAACTTGTGCTGCAGAGGCTGCGGATTGCTTCATAGTACGATGCTTAACCCCTTGCGCCACCAGGGAGGCCCCTGCCTAGGAGTCTTGCCTGTAGCTGTGGCAGCTCACTCAGCCCTGGACAAGCCCAGGCTGCAAGTTGTAGGTGTGTTAACGTCTCCAGGACAACGCTTAAACAAGGGGAATGCAGCTGGGCATAAGTGGCAAGATCTGACTCTCTGGGAGGCATTCTGTGTACTTCGGCGGCCTTTTCTGAGGCTGACTGGATAGCCTAGTATCATACTCATAGTGACTTTCCTCTCCCTTCTACACGGCCCCCTCTTTCCTGCTTCCTGAGTTGACCTCTCAAATACAGAATACCTGACCCACCTCAGCTTCTGCTTTGAGGGAACCCAAACTGAGACAACACTGGTGTCCTTGTTCCCAAGAAACCCCCAGTCCTGACTGTTGACTGGGCAGGGCTTCTCCCCTTCCCTCAACTCTCTTTCTACTCGGTCCTTTGCAAGTGTCTTCATTTCCAAGCTTTGGCTGACATCTCCACCCAGACAGGGCCTCTCTTCAGTATGATCTATCACTGCATCCTTTGCTTTTTCTCTCCTATATCCTGCTGCAGCTGGGTAGTGTGGGCTCTTCATGGCCATGTGTTATGACTCCCAATCAGATTATAACCCCTCACACTTTCACATGCCCCCACCTCCCCAGAACTGGGTGCCAAGCTTTATTGAAAGCAGTCCCTGGGCCTCCCCTGGTGGTGGTTGAGCGCTGGGCTGCAAAGCTGCCTGCAGCCTGTGCAGTGCCAGTTCAATCCCCGGCTGCCAGCGAGGGTCCCACATGGCGCGACAGACCTCTCCTGCCGTGCCCGCTGTTCCCCTCAGCAGTTTATTTCGTCAGTCTGCCTGTTCTGCTCCCCGCTCTGGCTCTGGTGAATTCTCTCATCCTCCCGTGCTTCTGACTGTACCCAGTGCTTGTATGAATAAATAAATCTTTTTGTTTAAAAAAAAAAAAAGCAGTCCTTGACAGCCTAGTGAGAGCCTGAAGACCTGGGGGAGGGCCCGAGGCAAGCGATGACAGAGGGTAGGTGGGAAGCTGAGGTGAGGGGTCTCAGCAGGGTCAGGAGTCTGCAGGCAGGCAACGATGGAGCAGCTGGGGAGTGAGGTGTTTGAGTCACCGTGTTTGCTGACTGCAGGTCAGGAAATAGTAAAGCTGCAGAGTTAGGAATTGGGGCCAGAGCTGGAGGGGGTATGAGTGCAGAAGCAGGACCCAGGTCAGAATTCAGCAGTGTCCCTACTAAATTACCTACCCAAGAGTCTTATCGGCATCCCTTCAGTTTATCCCTGTCCTGGAGAGGCAGGCTCTGACGGGCCTGGACAAGTTAGTGATGGGAAGTAGAGTGAGGGAGGGGCCTCAGGAAAGACCTGAGATGAGCCCCACCTTGTCCCTCCCCACTGTCGCCTCACCCTCTGCACACCTGACAGGCTCAGATAGGAGTAAGATCCTCATTCACTGCTGCTTTGCCTCTCAGCTTCCCGGACCCTCAACCCTGCTCCCTCCTGGCTGGTAAGTAGGTCTGCTCACCGTTTTTCCTTCCTGCCAGGAGGCTTAAAGATGAAGCTGGACTGAGAAGGAGGGGCCAGGATAGAGGGGTTGAGGTAGAGGAACCGACAGCTTGGTAGTCAGGACCAGGGAGGTGAGTCCACTGAGAGCAGCGGATTTGGATTCCAAGAAGTAATGTTTGAGTTGGAGCTGGGGCCCTTGGGAAGTTAAGGTTCTCAGACCAGACAGGCAGGCTGCAAGGAAGTGTAGGGGGGTGGTGCCGCGGGAAGGAAGGGGAGGCACAGCCCCTTCTCACCTGACAAAGTAAAGGAGGCTTTCGCCCCACCCCCTAAATGCCCTACGTGGCCCCTTCCAGCCCCTGCAGGTACAGAAGGATGTCGGGCTGCTACCGCCCCCCTGGGAACGAGACCCTGCTGAGCTGGAAAGGCTCTCGAGCCACAGGCACCTCCTTCCTGCTGCTGGCAGCGCTGCTGGGCCTACCGGGCAACGGCTTCGTAGTGTGGAGCTTGGCTGGTTGGCGGCCCGCACGGGGGCGGCCGCTGGCGGCCACGCTGGTGCTGCACCTGGCGCTGGCCGACGGCGCGGTGCTGCTGCTCACGCCGCTCTTCGTGGCCTTCCTGACCGGGCAGGCGTGGCCGCTGGGCCCCGCGGGCTGCAAGGCGGTGTACTACGTGTGCGCGCTCAGCATGTATGCCAGCGTCCTGCTCACCAGCCTGCTCAGCCTGCAGCGCTGCCTCGCGGTCACCCGGCCCTTCCTGACCTCCCGGCTGCGCAGCCCGGCCCTGGCCCGCCGCCTGCTGCTGGCCGTCTGGCTGGCCGCTCTGCTGCTCGCCATCCCGGCCGCGGTCTACCGCCACCTCTCGGGGGACGGCGTGTGCCAGCTGTGCCACCCCTCCGCGACCCATGCCGCTGCCCACCTGAGCCTGGAGACTCTGACCGCCTTCGTGCTGCCCTTCGGGCTGGTGCTCGGCTGCTACGGCGTGACGCTGGCGCGGCTGCGGGGCGCCCGCTGGGGCGCCGGCCAGCACGGGAGGCGAGTGGGACGCCTGGTGAGCGCCATCGTGCTGGCCTTCGGCTTGCTCTGGACCCCCTACCACGCGGTCAACATTCTGCAGGCGGTGGCTGCCTTGGCGCCCCAGGAAGGGGCCCTGGCGAGGATCGGCGGGGCCGGCCAGGCGGCGAGAGCTGGAACCACGGCGCTGGCCTTCTTCAGCTCCAGCGTCAACCCCGTGCTCTACGTCTTCACTGCCGGGAATCTGCTGCCCCGGGCAGGTCCCCGCTTCCTCACGCGACTCTTTGAGGGTTCTGGGGAGACCCGAGGGGGCGGCCGCTCCAGGGAGGGCACCATGGAACTCCGAGCCACTCCTCGGCTGAAAGTGGTGGGGCAGGGGCAAGGCAACGGAGACCCTGGGGGTGGGGCCGAGAAGGATTGTCAGGGATGGGAGCCTTGACCCCAAACTCTGCAACCCGGCCTGCTCTTCCCCATCTCCACCCATCGTGCCCCAGAACTCAGGGAACCACTTTGGAGCCTTTAGGATACTTGTCTGACCACAGTTTGGATCTGTCTGGGCAGAATTATTAACCCTCAGGGCAGGTTCAGGTTCCTCCAAACCTGGGAATTACAAGAGGTGATGGTCCGTGTTAATGAATATCCTTCCTTGCAGGTTGACTTGTGCCATGTCCCAGAGCTGCTTACTCATTGCCAACAGCTACTGGGAACTCACTTGATGGCCATTACTTGGTGTGCACACCTGGTGGCTCGTCACACCTGAGTTGTATTGAGCCACTTGGATCTCTGCTGGGTCGGGTCAAGGCTAGGTGGTACCTCTTGGCCTAGTTGCATGGGCCAATCTGTATAACTACCCTGGGAATAAAGGGAGAAAGAGGAAGGAAATGTCTGGGAGCTTGGATGAGGGGTGGGGCTGGGATCCATTTTCTGGAGTCTGTAAGAGTCTTGGGAGATGAAGGGACTGGCACTGGATGGGAAAAGTCAATCTGTGGGAAAAGTTTTCTTCTCTATCTGTCTGTCTGTCTGTCTTGTAGTTGGCATGTTGGGGAAGGGGTTCTGGAAGTCTGAGACTTATCTTCCTTTCTGAATCCCACTCTCCCCCCACAGAGGTCACCCAACTGAAAACAGCCCAGGAGCACACACCCCCTCTCCCAGGAACATTTAGGGGTAGGGCATGAGGGAGTATGGGGGATGGTGTGGCTATTTGAAGGACAGGAAATATTTTTTTAAAGGTTTTTTTTTATTTATACAAGAACTGGGGTACAGGTCAGAGGTACAGGAGGTGAGAGGATTCACCAGAGACAGAGCAGGGAGCAGAACAGGCAGACGGACTAAAGACGCTGCTGAGGGGAGCAGCGGGCAAGATAAGAGAGGTCTGATGCGCCATGTGGGTTTCTCCTGGGCAGGCCGGGAATTGAACCCTTGCTGCAGAGGCTGCAGACAGCTTCACAGCGCGGTGCTCAAACTGCTGCGCCACTGGGGAGGCCAGGACAGGAAATATTTTTCATGGAGTTGTTGCCTCTCCTTTCATTCCTTTTTTCTCTCTGTTAAGTCTTGACTCCTCCCAAGGCTGTTTGTTGTTCCTCAGACTTCCCCCAATCTTCTTGGTCCCCTACCTTTCAGATTCTCTCTCTCTAGATCTACAACTGAACTGTGCTAGATCCTTACACTTTTGGGAATATAGGATAAGGTTCTTCTCAGGGCTCATCTAGCACACGCATGTGATCCACAGGATGATGAGCTCAGCCCCATTGGCCCAGGACTTTCCTAGTGTTACTCTCTGTCCCTGGCAAACTTGTGTGGTTGGTTACCCGAGTGGTTGCCCTCACCATCATCCCAGGCTCTGCCTTAGTGATTTTCATACCAGTCAAGCAGAAGGCAAAGGAGAGCAGAGGAAATGACGGTCACGTCAGGGCCTCAAAAACTGGGTTTGGAGTGGAGCTCTGAACTTGAGGGGCAGGGAGTATGCTTAGAGTGCTTAGAGGGCTTACAGTGCTTATAGTGCTACATTTGGTTGGAAGAAGAAAGGCCACAGAGAGGGATGGAAATGGGAGAAGGCAGAGATAAGCCAGTGATTGTCAGAGGGGCCTCTGGTTGACCTCAGAGCTCTGAGTCAGAAGCTTCTATCCCCAAACACAGATTTTTGGGGCTTTTCCTGTTCTTATGTACTGGGGCAGAGGCTCCTAACTTCCTCTGTTACACATTCTCCAGCTCAAGCCCTCCGTGTGGTCAGAAAGCCCTTCCTCCTCTGCCTTCACTTCTTGCTGTGGTTTCAGCCCATTGTTTTTCATCACATCCTCTGCCTGACAGCTACTGGTTCAGCTCTGCTCTGGCATTTCTCAAAACAGAGAAAGTAGGGGCGCTGGGAAAGAGAAGCAACCTAAATGACTGCCATCAAACTGCATCTTTCTGGAAGGGGCAGTGATGAAAGGGAAGCAGGCAGGCTCACCCTCAGACTGAAGAAAAGACTTTTCATTCTTAGCTTCTGCAGTGGAGTTAAAGGAGAGGAGACTGCCATGGGCGGAGAAGTGGCCCTTTGGGGCCTGTTTCTCTTAGTACATTTCTAATTTCTTTTCCCCTTTGGCAGGTCAGGTAAGAGACTTCACTGCCCCCATTCCCTTGTGCCTGTTCCCCATGCTCAGCTTCTATTTTCTCTGGGTGTCAAAGATGGAACTGGATAAAGCAGGAAAGAGGTAGTGCTGATTTCCTTGCCCAGTACCAAGATCTTAAATCCAAACTCATGTAGTAAGGTAACCACATGGGCATGTACAAGGAAAATGGTTGCAGGGAGGGGAAGAAATGGCACCGTGATACTAAGAACACCATTTAGACTTTGACTTCTACCAAAGAGAAGGGAGTCTTGGTTGGCCTAGAATGGATTCAACAGGGAGGGATGGAGGATGCTTGTAATGGGTCCTCTCCCCCCAACTCTACGCGTGGCTTGAGCCCCAGGGAAGGACAGGGTACTACCCTCTGACATGATGTTCCTTAACCCAAACCCAGAAAAATGCCACAGTTCCAACCTACACTTCCTACTAATCTAAAAATCTGCATTGTTCACACAAAATATAAAGATACCCAATATTTTGGCCTTTCAGTCTGAGCCCATTTCCCCTCTCTGGCTTCCTTCCCTTCTTCTCCTGTATGACACAATTCATCACCTACTCTGTTCAACTCTCCAGTCTAGACCTGCACCTGAGGCCGCGCCCCGGCCTACTCACGCACTACTGTCTCTCTTCCCTGACTGCCCCTTCCCGGCTGTCCTCGTCAGGCTCCGCCCTGCAGGGCTGCTCGCCCCCCACCCCCGGGCTGTCCTGGAACACCAAGACTCTCCCCTCTCCTGGAGAAGGGAGGAGATAGGAGTTTCAGCCCCACCCTCAGGAAGATATGTCTTGCCCTCCCCTGCTCTGCGATACTTCCTCTCTGGCTGACTTAGCTGACAGCATCCAGACCCTGGTATAGGCTTCACCACTACCCTGAGCCTGGGATTGGCATCAGCTTCCCACCAGTACTCAGCCAAGTCTGTGAGTATCCTAGGGGTGGGCATGGGAGTGGGGTGGGAGGCGGGGTGTGGTTAGGAGAGAAGGTGCAAAGGCATTTCTAAAGAAAACCTGATAGGTGTTCAAGGAAGTCTGGAGGATTAGCCCTTGTCTTCTCACTAACTTCTCCCCATCCCTGTTATTCCTGGTGGACCCCGGGTGTTTCTGGGAAGAGCGGGTAGGTGATTAGGGGGAGTCAGCAGGGTGGAGGGGCCCAGAGCGTGGCACGGGACAGAGGAGCTACCTTTTTGGGGCAGAAAGTTCCCCTTCCAGTTTGGCTCTGGTGTTAGGGCCTCATACGGGAAGGAGGCCGAAAGCTTCTGGAAGTACTGTGGCTACCGTTGCTGCATATTTTGCAATTGGGTCTGTGAGCAGGAAGGGGCCCCAGGGCCCGGATAGGAAATTAGTCTTTTTGCTCAGTCAGATCCCCTTAACACAGGTCAGCTGGCGGTGACAAGGGCGGTGTGTTGTGGAGGTGTATCTGCTGCTGGTGACCGTGGAGCGAGCTCAGCGGACTCGGCCTTGCCAGGAAAACCTTGTCAGGAAAACCTCAGTCCGCCACCCTCATGTCCAACTTCACTCTTCAGGTCTTTACGATGGCCACCAACACTACCTCTTCTGTCTTTACAATGGCCACCAACACTACCCCTCCTGCAGCACCCTCCTCAGCAAATGACAGCTTCACCCGCATCCTGGCTATCATCATACTGTCCATGGCCCTCATTGTGGGGCTTCCTGGCAACAGCTTTGTGGTGTGGAGCATCTTAGGAAAGATGCAGAAGCGCTCTGTCACAGCCCTGATGGTGCTGAACTTGGCCGTGGCCGACTTGGCTGTACTGCTGATTGCACCTTTTTTCCTCCACTTCCTGGCCCGGGGCACTTGGATTTTTGAACTGTTTGGTTGCCGCCTGTGCCACTACATCTGCGGAGTCAGCATGTATGCCAGCGTCCTGCTGATCACAGCCATGAGTGTGGATCGCTCGCTGGCGGTGGCCCGTCCCTTCGTGTCCCAGAAGTTGCGCACCAAGGCAGTAGCAAGGCGGGTGCTGGCCGGCATCTGGGTGATGTCCTTTCTGCTGGCCACGCCTGTCTTCGTGTACCGCAACTTGTATGCAAGGCCCAACGGGATCCTGGTCTGCGCCCCGATGTACCCCAGGGTAAGCCACAAGATATTCCATCAGCTCTTCGAGCCCATCACCGGCTTCCTGCTGCCCTTTCTGGTTGTGGTGGCCAGTTACTCCGATATCCGGCGCCGGCTGCAGAACCGGCGCTTCCGCCGCAGCCGGCGCATCGGCCGCCTGGTGGTGCTCATCATCCTGGCCTTCGCCGCCTTCTGGCTGCCCTACCACTTGGTGATCCTGGTGCAGGCGGGCTACTCGCTGGCGGGGATGCCCGCGGCTAAGCAGCTGCACAACGCCCGCGCCGTGCTCATCACGCTGGCCTTCCTGAGCAGCAGCGTGAACCCCGTGCTCTACGCGTGCGCCGGCGGCCGCCTGCTGCGCACGGCCGGCATGGGCTTCGTCGCCAAGATGCTGGAGGGCACCGGCTCGGAGGTGTTCAGCGGCCGCCGCGGTGGCACCCTGAACCAGACGGCCAGGGGCGACGCAGAGCCGGCCACCGAGGACAGCCCCGACACTGTGGAGTGAAGCCACTGGAAGCCTGCGGAGTGGCGGCACGCGCTGGGCCAGTTGGTCTGTTCTCTCCTCCGGGAGGAGAATGCAGGCGGAGGTTGGAACCCCAGAGGGAGGGAGGAGCAAGTGAGGCGTGAGGGCCTGGCTCTCTTCGGCAGCTCTACAATTAAAACTGATTAAAACTTGGCTCAATCCTGAGTGGGGTGTGTATGCTGTGTACCCTTATAGGGATCCCCCTCAATCACAGAGAGGCACGTCTTTTTTTTTTTTTAAATCTATGTATTTATGCATTGAAGAACTGGGGTGTAAGCCAGAGGTGGGGGTTTGGGATGGGGGGTGAGAACATTTACCAGAGACAGAGTGGGGAACAGAAATGGCACATCTACTGAAATACACTGCTGAGGAGAGCAGTGGACAAGACAGGAGAGGTCTGCTATGCCATGTGGGGGTCAGCTCCCTGGCCCCCTATCCAAGTGGTGCTGCAGTGCCTGGCGATAGTTGATAGCGCTGAGACTTTCAGGGAGGCTCAGAGAGGCGCATCCTTTAATTCCCTGTGATGTTTGATTTTGGGAAGGGACACAAAAACAGATATAGAAAAAAGCACCCCCCCCCCATTCTGAGCTAGTTGGGCTGTAGATTATATTTAGAAGGACCAATGAAAAAAAGGACCACTCATGTGGGTTCATCACCCCAGACTCCCTGACTCAGCAAGCGGGTATTCTGAGAAAACGGAACATAGCTGGGGCAGCTACCCTTAAAGCCTATGATAGGTATCATTGTTAGCATGACAACAACTTCCTGCCAGCAAGCATCCCCCCGCCTCGCAGCATGAGATATCCTAGGGGGCGGCCTTCCTCTCTTCCATCTCTCTAGGAGGCTTCACTTGAGATCCATTATCATATCTTATCCCCTAGACTATTGCACACTAGCATTAGCCAGACCCCAAAATATACTCTGCTGCAGGGTGGGCCAAGGGCTCTTAGGTTACTTTTAAATTGCCCAAAGTGAGTGGGATGAGTCATTCTTTCCTAGGGATGACTTATCTTAGAGCATCTCGGACTGGCTCTGTTCTGAAAGTATTTTAGAAAGATGAGAGCAGCAGTGGCTGCCACATCCTTTTTGAATTTCTCCCAGAAAGTGTAACCAGGAGAGCAAAACCAAAAACCAAGGTACAACATCTGCAGCCAGTCTAGGGTGTCAGGATATCTCCCATGGACCCCAGAATATGAGTAAGTGGGAATGAACCGTGGTTGAGTCAAGTCCCATATACTGTCAGTACCTTTGTGGAAGGATGAAGAAAAAATAAAGGGGGCATCAGAGGAAATTGAAAGCAGGAAAACCCCAAACTGTCCACATGTCCCCTCTGGAAAGCATGGTGGGTCCATTTAAATTTAGCAGCTGAAAACTGAAGGGACCTAATAGATTATTTCCCAGGCCTTTACCCATGCCACACGGTAAGCACATAAGAGGTGCTTATGTGGTGTTTGTAGATTGAATGAAGGTCAAATGACATTTCCCTGGGAATTCCTTCCAATATCTGTGGGTGTGAAGCAGGAAAGGACAAATTCATATGATTCAAATTCTTTATGCTTCCAAGGTGTACAAAATACTGCCATCACTTGTCAGGCGGGCTGAGGCAGTCCTCTTCCTCAGCTGGGTGTAAAGAAGCAATCCTTTCTTTTTTTCTTTTTTTTTTTTTTTGTGGGACCCTCACCAGTGGCCGGGGATCGAACTGGCACCGCAGAGGCTGTGGGCAGCCTCGCAACCCAGCGCTCAACTGCTGCGCCACCAGGGGAGGCCCAAGAAGCAATCCTTTTTAACACACTCCTGCACACGCTTGCACACATGCAAACACTCAGTTTGGCCTGGCAAGAAGTCACCCTTTTGAGGGGCAAGGAGAAGGTGATCCCCAGCTATAGTGGCAGCTTCTGACATCAACTGATTGCAGCCACACTAGCCTCTTTATTGAGGATCTTAGAGGAGGAGTGGAAGGGGTAGGAGTCTCAGCCCAGGGTGGCCAAGGGAGGTCCAGATCGTGTCAAGTCTGTGTTTAGGAAGTAGGTACAGAGCTGCCCTTTGCCTTTGACCTTGATGATGCCCCGGCTGTAGCAGGTATACCCTAAGGACTGCAGAGCCCGGGCTGTCTCCTCAGTCACCTGCAATTGGAGAGGAATGAGAGAGTGTGGGCATGGCCCTATCCTCACCCCCCTGCCCCAGCACCTCCACGGTGGCTCCCTCACTTGGATCTTGCCCAGGACTCCTGTGCTCTCCATGCGGCTGGCCACATTCACTGTGTTGCCCCAAATATCATATTGTGGCTTCTGGGCCCCAATCACTCCAGCCACTACTGGTCCATGGTTTAACCCTGACAAGAGATGTGATAAAAATTTGAGGAGCAAAGGGGAGCATGAAACTCAAGAAACCAGAGAGAAGGGTGGGGTGGGAGGGTGCTTACAAGAAAAGAGCATGAGGCGGGAGGAGTGTGGCTTGGGGAAGGAGTGGATGAGCCTTAGATCTCCTGGCTCAGTAGCTCCATGCTTCAACCCAAGGGTGAGTCTGGAGAGGTGTCTAGAGGTGAGTTGGAGAGCAGCAAAGAAAGGACTTGGGGTAAGGAGAGGTCCAGAGGGTGAGGAGCAGGAACTAGATCGCCCTGGCGAGGGAGGGGCCTTACCCACGCGCAAGTGGAAGTTGTTGAATGAGTGCTTGTTGATGACATCCAGCTTGGACCCAAGGGCCACGGCAAACTCCACCATGGTGCCCAGGTGGCTGCAGCTTCGTTCAGCATCCTAGCAAAGGGACAGCCCACAGGGATGGTCAGTGAAGGCACAGGTATAATGGGTCCTCTGGGTCCACCAATGAGGGCCCGGAGGAGGGTTGGCAGGTCAGGAAGGAACACAGGTACCTGCTGTGTGTCCTGTCCGGAAGTGGCATTTAAGCCTGTGGCTGCCATGTAGGTGCTGCCAATGGTTTTGATCTTCTCCACCCCGCTGAACTTGGGCTTGGAGAGCAGCTGTATGAGACAGGAGACTATGTCCCCAGTTTCCTTTGTTCTTTTCCTGAAGCCCAGCCCCAGGCCTTTGGAGGCTAGAGGACCAGGTTTTGGGGTTAAGGATGGTGCTAACAGGGACAGTTGGCAGTGGGCTTAGTTGCTAGAGAGGGCAGAGCTGGGGACCAGAGGAGAAAGAAAGGCTGGGTTTCATGGCTGAGAGAGTCACAGAGGGAGGGGCAGGTGGGAAATGCTAGAACCCAGGACATAGGGTCTGCGGGATCCTTGGAGTTGTCACCTCATCGAAATCAGCAATTATCTCGTTGAGCAGCCGCAGACACTCTAGCCCCTCGTGGTTGATGTTGGACTCGGAGTAGAACTCCTTAAAATCTGGTACTGAGGCGAAGAGGACACAGACACACTCATAGGACTGGTGGTAGAGGTCCTGGAGAGAAGGAGGCTGGGGTGAGGGTGTGTGCCCAGTCTTGCCCCTTCTGGGGCAGCATGCGCCTACCTTCCTCCTCTGCTGAAGGAACAAAAATGAGGGGTAGAGGTAGGGCCAGGTTACCCCAGGGCGTGACTCTGGAGTCAGAGGTTGGGTCTCATTGTGATTCCAGGAGAGGCAGATTTGCAGTTAGAATCATTTCACAGGAAGATCAAGGGAGTCACTTCTAGGACTGGGGTCATGGCCACTGAATTATCTTTATATTTTATCCTATTGGTAAAAGTTCTTAAGTCAACTTACAAAGATAGCTATAATTTGGAAGATGAAATGAACAATAAAGGGGAAATAAAGATAAGATGGTAAAGATTTGAGGTTGGTTCATAAGCTGGAAACCACGAAGTCCTTTTTAGCCCCTGCTGGTGGCTCTGAGCTTTCTAGTAGCAAATGTGAAAGCAGAAACTGGATCAGTTACAAGATTCCCAGTGTCTATAAAAGAAGGAGCCAGGAGAAGCAGAGCTCCCCCTAATCCTGAGAGCAGAGAACAGGCAGTGGGGGTTTAGGCTGTGAACTGCTTCTTTTAACACCCCTCACTACTGACCAAGAACAGGTGCACAGCAGAGAGGGTAACATGGTGGTGGTATGAATGAGACAATGAAAATATGTGGTTGAAAATATGTGGTTCTCATGGGTTGACTAAAACAAGATATTTGAAGATTTAGGGCAGCACTGCCAATCTAACTTTCTGTGGTGTTTTAAATGTTCCATATCTGAGCTGTCCAATATTGTGGCCACAAGCCACATGAAATGTGACCAGTGAGACTGAGGGACTACATTTTCTATTTTAATTAATTTAAACTCAAATGACCAAATATGGCTAATGGCTGCCATGCTGGGTGGTACAAATCTAGAGAGATGTGTGGACTGTTTCTGTACAACTCCCACCAACACTTGACAGGTCTTCTGAAAGATAGGGGGTGGCCATGAGTTGGAAAGGACACTTCTTCCAAGTAAGGACTTGGAACACAGATTCTGAGCTCACCAAAGACAGAATCTAAGACTTGCAACAGGGACAGGGGCTTGGGAGTCTGCCCCGCCCACTGTGGTAGAGTCCAGAGAGGATGGGCCAAGGACTTTCATGTGAAATGAGTCCCACAGTGTCTGTAGCTCAGGAGTTGGGATGGGGAGTCACCTCGTTGCGCCGGTTCTGGCCAATGAACTGGGGGGCCACGTGTGCAGGAAGCACATTCTCCAAGAGCAGCCGAGTCAAGTTCTCCATTGTCTCTGTCTCCTCCCGCTCCTGCCTCAGCTTTTTCTTCCACAGGAAGTCCAGGCGACAGTAATACTCATTCTGGGGCGGGTCAGGGGAGACACAGTGCAGGAGAAGCTCCAGTTCCAGAGTGTTCCCTCACATGAAGCCTAAAACCACACCGCCCCACAGATAAGAGATAAAGTGCAACTGTCCCTGGGGAGATGTCCTTGAAAGTAGATTCAAAGCAGGGTGGACAGAATTGGCATCAGATTTTTTTTTTTTCTAAAGCACTATTCTCCTAGATTGGATGTGGCAGGAGGAGGGGAGGGGGATGTTGAGGACATTCCCCTGGGGAATGAAGGAGGAAGAAAGGGAACAGGAAGATTAACTTAAAAGTTTCCAGCAGACATATCGTTTGGGCTCCACTCTGGAGATGTAAGATGAAGGCAAAGGGTGACAGAGTTACAAAATATGGGTCCCCCCAATACACACACCTCACTCTTTGTGGGAGACCCTGGAGGGCTGAGCTGTGTGGCTTACCTGCCGAGCCA